GATCTGTTTGGGGGAGGTAGGAGACAGGCACCCCAGCAGTTCTGGGAGTGCTGTGGGTTGAAAAGCTACTGCCAGTCAATGTATGGCAACAAAGAAATCAGCAGCAACTTTTGTGTAGCTTTCTCCAGGGCACGGCTGTCTTCAGGAGCTGCGGCACTGTGGATGGTGATGGGAATGGCAGGAGCAGTTGCTAAGTTGGGAGCCAAAGCCATGTTTCTATGTCGCCTGGTACAAGTCTGGCGTTCTTCCAGGGCTTGTGATCCTTGCAGAGCAAAACACTTTGATTAGAGCAGTGCAAACTCTTTGATGCCAACCCCCCCCCCCGAAGCTGCTCAGAGCTTCAGCTTCTGTTCCAGTGAGCAGCTGTCACTCTGCCAGGCTGAAAGCCAACAGGCAGCAACATTCAGCATCGCAGTCACTGGAACGGGGCATCGTATGAGAAGGGCTTCCTGCTTTAGAAACAGCTCCTTCTTGCTTCAGTGTTGATTCCAAACGAACTTCTGACATTTGTTCGGAAGAGAGAGTTCCATAACACTTCTTTTTGGCTACATCTTTTGTGTGTGACTCTGCTCTTGGGGTGGTAGGTGGGGTGGGCTGGAGACAGTGGGAAACCTCTTCCTCAGAGACAACAGGCCAGGATTTCTGCTGGCTACTTTATTTCCTCAAACACAACATGAATGCTCTTGGTAGGACTTGGGTTAACTGCATAGTGCCTGGTGTCTCAAAAGCTTACTCAGCTCGAGATGTTCAAATTATTTTGCTGTTGTGTCCCTTGCTGCAGGAGGAGAAGGCCAAAGCCTACAAGAAGGAGAAACAGAGAGAGAAGAAAAGGCGGGCGGAGGAAGATTTGACATTTGAAGAGGATGATGAAATGGCAGCCGTGATGGGTTTCTCCGGTTTCGGCTCAACCAAAAAGAATCACTGAGCAGCTCTGGACTCTCCTCTTTCTTGAAACAGATTGTTTTTACCCAGGGGACTCTGGATAACTCTTAAAAGACTTGATTGAGGACTTGTATGTAAATCTCCCAGTAGAAGTTGGCTGGAGGAGTCGAGAAGCGATTCCATGCTCTACCTGTGCTGCAGAACAAGCTCCGCCTGTCATTAGCTTCCCATCTCCTTCTGTGTCCTAGATCTGGCTGCCCATCACTGCTCTATGGCCTTGTGTGTGCAGGGAAGTGTTCTGCTGGGTACGTTTTTGTGTCAATAAAGTGCAACAGTCTGTACAGGTGGCCTGGTTCAGGATTAATCTAATTGTCAACCAGGCATCGTTGTTCTGGGCCCTAGTTGTTCTAGGTGTCAACCGAGCTGTGTGTTTGAGACGCAGGGAGTGATTCACTTTCTTTTTGGATGATGTAACTAAAGGAAATGTGCCGCAGCAAGCGGTGTTGAGCGGTACAACCTGCATCTTTATGGCTTGTGCTGAGCAGAGCTGGTGGCTGCTTGGAGTCTGGGTCACCGAATCTTTCCTGTGTATTTTATCTACAAGGGATACTTCCCTGCTTTTCTTTGTGTTTCGTCCTATAACTTTGATATCTTTAAGGCAGGGGAGAAATGCCTCCCCACAACTGATCTAGGATACAGCGAGTGAAAGAAAGGTGTGTGCAATTTGCCAGAAATAAATGGATCGTTTTAATGGGTCCTTTGGTGAGAGTTTGATTCCTTCTTTATTTTGAGAGCTTCTGTCTCCCACCGAGAAGAGCTGCTGCTGTCTCCCAAGCTGCGCAGAGCTGGTGGTGGCCTTCTGGGGACCTCGACGGAGGCAAAGGCAAGGCTTGTGCCCCCTTGTCTCTCGGCTCAGCTGCCCTGTGCAGGCAGTTGCCATCAGTCTTGGCTTTTTAAAGTAACTCTGGAGATGGGTGTAAGAAGATTTGAGGGGAAAGGGAAAGGGAGGACAGGACTGGGGACCTGCATTTCCATCAGGCAATCTGAGAGCAGGCTGGGCTGCGTTCCAGATTTTACCAGTCTTAGTATATTAAGGGCCATTTTTTTCCTGTCTACTGGCTGTCAGTGTCTTTTCACCTCTGCCCTCCCCTAAATCCACTTCATTTCTGCTTTTATTTACCTCAGTCAAACCTTGTGTGACTCATTTCTGTCTACGGTTAGGATTTATATTTTGCGTGGCTGGGTTTTCATAGCTCTGTCTCGCTCTCCTCTCTCTTTTTATGTATATTGATGAAATCCTTGCTCTTGCCCTTCTCTGTACTCATATGAAATTTCCAACCAGAGGAAGGCTGCAGTGTGTTTAGCCTGCTCTTTCTAATACATCTAGAACAAATCCTGTAATGTTGTGCTGCTGTTTTAATTCCTTAATCTTAGGCTGCTGACAGCTTCATTGCCTCAGGTCTTTCCGCTTCAATTCAGATTATAATCCCCGTTGAAGATGCTATTGAAATGATATATAGCCAGTCAGATACAACTGTCCTTGGAGGTTTGACCCTTTTAACTCAGCAATCCTTTGACTTCGGCGAACGCTCTCTGAGCACACGAGCTGGAAGGGCGACTTTCATTCCAGCCACGTACCTAGCGCTGTTCAGGCTGCGGCACGTGGCTTTGGCTGAATGGGAGAGAGGAGACGCTTGTGCCTTTGTGCCCTCCGGGGTGCAAAAGGGATGCTGCTGTGGTTTCATACGCATTAAAAGTTTAGGATGTTTCAGAGAAGATTTAGCAGCAGCCATTTTATCCCAGCTACCAGCTCTGCAGACAACCAGACCCTCGCTGCAGTCTGAATTTGGTTTGTGCTTCTGGGGAAGGGACTGAGGCTGAGGCTGCCCTGCACCCTCCCTCTCCCCCAGATTGTCACCTTGGAGCCCATTGCTGATGCCTTAGTTTCCCCACGGAGCATCCCACCGTTCTTGTCCATCCCACCACACCCAAGGGGCAAAGTGTGAAATGGCCAGCCCCCCAAAAAAACCTTCCTGTGATGGTCGGGGTTGTGCAGCCTCCTGCTGCCGGGCTGGAGCCTGCCCAGGCCTGACCCAGCCTTTCTGAGTGCCCTGCCCATCTCTGCCTGCCGCTCTCCATCCCTGGGAGATGGAGAGGAAATCCCTCCGCGGTTCGATGGAGTGGGAAAGGGCTTTCATTAATGAGATTCTTCTTTGGTAAAAAAACTGTTATACCCAAACTCCATCCCGAGGCCATCTACATCCTCTGGGCTGAAGCCCCAGCCCCAGTGTCTCCGCACTGCTGCTCCCACTGGTCCCAGCGCTGGGGCTGCTCTCGCCC